CAGTACAGCTCTCGATACTGGAATATACTGTACTGGCAGCACGGCTCTCGGTACTGTACTGTACTGGACGTTTTAGTACGCAGTTAAATACTGGAATAAAAATACTGTACTGTACTAAACCTGCCCGTCTGGAGAAACAATCTACATACCTACACACCATGCCTTTGCCCATTAATTGCAACAGGTACTTTGGTAATCTGCTGCTACCCGTATGCTGTGCTGAACAAGTATGGCCGTGCAACCAGAACATAGTGAACGTGCAGATCCAAGCACCACCGAGTTCATCCCGGCAACCAACACTCCTTGCTGTACGGGCAGACAACTCTCATGCTTGTAGAGCAGCAGAAGCCTGCGCGATCAGACTCAGTTTGACGGTTGCAGCTCAACACCTACAGCGCTGCTTACAGAACACCGATCCAGTAGAGCGATCTCTGCCACAGCCCCGAAAAAGACTGCTGTACCACAACCAAGCTCACCGAGATAAAGCCTGCCTCCCGCAGTGTGCATACAGGACACTTCAGCGCCAATCTCGGTGGCAACGTCTTCGGCGACGGTCTCCTTGTCGAAGAACGCAAACCTGCGCCATTGCACTTGCCGTGACATTCTTTCCGCAAGCCCCTTTAAGAAAAGCGTTAAACCTCAAGCGGCGACGGCCTCGTCGTTCACGCAAACCCTGTTCGCACCCCCCCCCCTTGGTTTTCCCTCCTGCGTGAGGGTGCAGTTCTCTCCTCAGCTGTAAAACAAGTCTTGAGGGCGCTGCTGTGTGGCACTGGCAACAGAAAAAGAGTCAGCGCGGGAGACCAGTGTTACCCACGCTGTTAACAGACCGCCAGCCGCGTGCCCCCTCGCTGCCACCAGGTCATATACCGTTGCACCCACTTGCCACCCACACCGCACGCCGTCCACAGGCCCACTGCATCTGCTATACTTATCTGGAGGTGTGTGTACACAGGGTACCACAGCCAGGAAGAGTCTTTAATCGATACAATGGCGGAAAGCGGGGAGCAAAGCGTCGGTGAAGCACCCGTGCAACCGCCGTCGAACGCTAAGGACGCCGTGTACGCAATGCTTGGCAGGTAAACTTCAGCTCCCTCAACACACAAGATGAATACGTAGACTACAGCAGTAGTATAGTGGACGGCCTGTGACACCAAGCCTTTTTTCGTGGGTCCGTTTGACGATGTTGGCTGTAATTATATGTGCATACAAGGGGCTCCGCGGCGGGCCTTGAGGGCCCACCGCTCCGCTGAAGTCCCCGAATGCGATGTCAAGTGATTAATGTTGACAACCACTGAGCAAAAAATTGCGGTGGATGATGATGTTGTGAGGTAGTGATGGCGAAAGTAGAAGGGTGGCGAGGATGTAGCAGATGAGGAAGGCTTGTGTTCGTTGGTAGATTGATGATGTAGAGTGGCAGCGAAAAAATTGGCGTGTTTAACGTTATCATTGAAACGACACGTAGTGGGAAACGGAATGCTTGCAAGCCCTATTGCAAGCTTGCAACAGACTTGTGGGAAGGAAATATATTGAAAAGGTACTCCATGCAGACTCCCGCAACCTTTGCAAACAAATCTCACGGCGGCAAACGAAAAGCAACT